GGCTGTGTGTGTGTGTGTGTGTGTGTGTGTGTGTGGATAATAGCAAACACTGAAATACATCTTTTGCACGCAGGAATGAACTTTGTTCACTCAAATTTAGCTTTTCTTTGCTCAAAATTTCTCCTCAAAATGCAACACTTGCACCTGCAAATGTTTTTTAAGTGCGCTCATAATAGTGGCACAAAAATAACACCATCGTTTTCGTCCTGTTGTGTGATGCTGTGGTAGCTGAGACTGAATGACGTGTGACGAGGAACGCGCTGCATGTTTTACCTCGATGTGTCTCTGCTTGCGTTTGCTGTCTTCGTGCATCGATCTCATCGTCTCGTTTAGCTTCTTACAGTCGGCCTGAAGCTGCAGCATCGCCTGCTGCACGCCGTTCACCAGCTCCACGTTCTGACACACACACACACACACACACACACACACACACACACACACACACACACACACACACACACACAGAAGGAATCAGAGATCTTCCTGCAGACAGCTTAACCCCGGTGTATTCTGTGTATATCGGAGCAGTGACGCTTAGTTTCCAGACGAGGTTCCAGGACTTTGACCTCCCCTTTAACATCATCTCCTGGAGCACCTCTGGCCCCTTCCACCACTGCTGCTATTTTTAGATCACTTCCTGCCACTCACCCTGCAGACTTTTGCTGCGTCTGCAACAATCTGCAGTTTACGGCATCTCAGGTGAGGACCGCATCGCTCACAGTGTTGAGCGTCACGAATCTGTCCACCAGGAAGAGGCAGCTAGAACTTCCTGTGGTGTCTGAGGAAGAACATCATGAGGAAAGTTGTGAGATTTTTAGCCACCTACAGTACTTAGACTGTGAGTTATGGAGAGATCTAAAAACAGCAGCCAAGGTAGGAGCAGCTTGGACGTGACCTTAAAAGGTAAAAATCAAAGTCAGGTGTTTTCAGCACTCTCTTAAACCCAGCGTGCAGATCTGAAATGTTCCCTAGCTTCACCCTGCTCTGGCTTGCCTCTCGGTCCTGCGGCGGCCCTTCTCTGGCTCCGCCCTGCTGCTGGATCAGTCTGTTCACCGCGTCCTGCAGCTGCTGGTAGTGCTCGAACAGAAAGCTGAGCTTCTCTCCAATGTTTGTTGTTCTGGCATTCAGAGCTGACCACTCTTCGCTCTGACGGACGCTCGGACCACCACTCTCCGCCTGCACGGCCTCATCGCATAGACTCGTGGACAGCTGAGATGTGAAGGACAAGATTGTGTCCTCCAGCGTTCCCCGCAGGTCGTCCAGCTGAGGTCGGAGGGCAAAGAACTGAGATTAGGCTGATGCATGTCGCCTGAAACACCAGGGCATCTTTGACTGTTTCTCTGTTTCCTCTGCTCGTGCTTTGTCTGGAATGTTTTCAGACTCACAATGTCATTTGACTTTTTTTTACAGTGTGGAAATCTACATGATGTCTCCTGCATGACATTCAGGAAACAGACACCACCTACAGGTAAACACCTGACACCGAAAACTAAAGACGCGGCTCCTTGACCAAAACAAACAACTTTTCTGATATTTTTTCTGATTGTTTTTTCCAAATGTGCCAAGCATAACAAAACTCCTAAATTATGACTTCGCCATTTACACGTGTGCTGCTGTTCCGTTCCCTCCCTGTAGGTGGCGCCAGTTTGCCTCCTGAGCTTCAGCACTTCCTGCCTGACCTGACGTTGTAGCTGTTGGTCTGCCGCTTTCTCCTCACACTGAGTCTGCTTCACGTCCTCCTCCAGCCACTGCACACGCTTCCTGGACACGAGGGCGCCATCATGAAAGCACAACGACTAAAGTGACCCGGGTGAATAAAACTCCTGACAAGTTTCGAAAGACTAAAAGGAGCCCTGATTCAGCGCGTTTAACGAGTTTCTCTCTGCAAGTTGGATCATTCTCTTCCAGGCAGCTCAAAAAATGATGTCAGAAGAAGAAGTGGCCAGAAATGCACGCAATGATGCTACAAACCCACTAGTGTTTCCTCTGTGACAGGAAAGACTGATCGTGTTTACACGTGAACATGAAACCGACCTGATAACAAAGTCGGTGAATTCTTGTGAATTCATTATAAAATAACAGTTTTAGGTCTAGTTTCTGTCAGGCGCCATCATCGTTGTCACCACAACACCGCCCTCGTTTAGGCGTGCCACACTTGCTGTAAAAAAATCTGTTTTATTTATAAAGCTCCAAATCCCAACAACAGTCGCCTCGAGGCGCTGCAGGAGTGCTGGTTCAGGAGCTCTTGGGTGATGAACTCGGTCTTAAAGGACACTGACATTTAACAACTCCGGCTGTAAAGGACGAAATAACTGCTGGTGATGCGAAGTGGGCGGGGCCAGAGTTAAACGCATACACAGATCCTGTCGCCTCCGTAGCTGCGCTGCCTTCGTGTTGCAGGGGCAGTTTGAGTAACATCCTCAGTTACATCACGTTCACGCTTCTCTCACTGCCCTCAGCTTCAAGCCAAGACTTCAAAATTTTTCAAACTTTTTTCTCCTAAATTTGCCATTTTTTCTCTAAACAGTTAAAGCGAGCTTAAAATAGCTGAGCTGGTGTTACTACAGGAAGCTGCATATGTATATTCATGGTCAGGGCTCCTTTTAAAACTTCTGTCGGGTGATGTAAAACTGGCTCTCCCTCCTGTGTGTCTTTACCTGAGGTGGGATATTTGCTCTCTGAGCTCTCGGTAACCTTCGCTGTCTGAACCCACTCTTCTGCAAACCTCTGACTCCGCCCTCTCCGAAGCTTCCTTTTGCTCCAGCCTCTCTGAATCTGC